TACGGCTCAGACAATTTGTTTGAACTTTAGCAAAATTTCGGAAGATTGTAGTGACTCTGAAGATATTTCAACTGTAAATCAAACAGCCAAGTCTGCTTCAACCCGGAAAACCAGTTACCAAAAAACCAGTTACCAGAAAACTTTAATAATTGCAAGGAAATTATTGAAAAAGATAAGCAAGAAAACGATTTTAATCGAGGGTCGGACGATGAAAAGCAAGATTGACCTAATAAATTAAATTTTTTTCATCCATTTTGATATCAAAAATCTGAATTTTAAATAAATCCACGAATTCATCAAAATTTTAAAAAGTTCATTAAGTGATGGATTCTACAAAAAAATTATTTGTCTGAATCTTAAATATTTGTGGCAATATATACAAAAATAAGAATTATGGTCAAAAAATATATATATTTTTGTTTTTTTTTGTCATACAATTGAATGGTGCATCAGTTTTTCATTTATTATTTTTTTTAATTGAAACAAATATTATTTTTGAGCATGTTTTTAATCGTGACTATATATGCTTTTTTATTTTATCAAAAACTACATGTCAAGACGAAAAAAAAAAAAATGAGTACCTACCTGAAGCACATTGTACGATAATTTTTCACCTTAATTTTTTTTTAAAAAAAGTGTTTTGGACCGAAAAAAATTAATTTTGCTTTTTATTTAAAAAAATTGTGATTATTTAAGACATACAAAGGTATCATTTCACCAAATTTCATCAACAAAAACAAAAATTCGAAGTTTTACAATTTTATAGAAAACTTTACTTCAACCCGCCCCCTCCACAGGTGGCATTTTTTTACCTGTTTCAAGCCCCTCTACTATTTACACAAGTTAACAATTTATTTTTCCTCTAAATGAGTTAATTTGATCTATAAGTTCCGACATGCGTCGAAAATATCCGATTAATCGGAAATAATCGATTAATCGGAAATATCGATTAATCGGAAATATCGATTAAACGGAAATATCAATAATCGAAAATAATGTAATAATCGAAACGATTATTTTGTAGTTGTAACGACGTTCCAAATGAAGACAGCAACTCAGAAAACTGCTTCTTTGAAATAATAAAAGTGAAATGAATGACATTATGAATTATTTGAAGTTTCGTAGTCTTGAGTTGCTATACAGGGTGTTTGATTAAGGACTGTAAGCTTCTGTCACTTGAAGCAGATTAAACAAAAAAACCGCAAAAATAAGTAAATTTTTATTCTAAGGGGGACCACCTTTCTATCATATTGTTAACTGTCATACACCATTTTTCTCCCTTTGGTCAATCTACCCAATTAAATAGGGAAAGGTAAAGTATGACACATCGAAACGATAATTTTATAAGGAATTCAGTATATGACTAATCATTGCGTTATTTTGTTTAGCGCCCTCTAGCGAAATAAAGCAACTGTTACATATTATAAAGTGTGACACTTTGAAACATAATTTTATTAGTAATTTAATTGACATGAAACTTAATTAAATGATAACACGAATTTAAATACTTGAAAACCATTATAGAGTTAAACTTTAATCGAATTTGACCAAAATTACAAATTTATGCTACGCATTGAATTACTAATTAGCTTTCAATTGAAGTGTCACACTTTACAATACGTTTTTATCCCCCTAGAGAGCATTAAAATTAAAAGTAACGAAATGAAGAACAATCATATTGCTGAATTCCACATAAATTACTTTTTCATGATGGGTTATACTTGATATTTTCCATATTTAAATTGTATTGCTGACGGAGAGCAGAGGAATAAAAATCGTTAAAAAATGTTATCCTTTAAAATTTTCTGAGATACAGCCGCTAACAGTCTTCGATAAGAACATTATGTATCGCTTAAATACAAATTTATATAAAAGTAATTTTAAAAAAGCGACTTGAAAATCGTGCAAATGCCATTACCAGATCATGACTAAATGTATGTGGGACCACCCCTGAGGTACCCCCTTACAAAAAAAAAAAATCCTAGAAATTGTACAATTATTGCTGAACATAAATTTAAAAAAAATGTTCCGACGAATTGAGAACCTCCTCCTTTTTTGAAGTCGGTTAAAAAGAATTGTACGTTCAGACAGGCTTTTTTTTTTTCATGATTTACTTTAGAAACATTTTATTTTTTACAGATCATTTCATATAAGTTAGCAATTAAATTCCTCGCAGTAGACGGCGACAAACCCAAGCCGAATTAATGACTTGAAAATTAATCTATTTTTTTCTTTTTTGTTTATATTCTCTTAGTCATTTAGATCCAGTAGGTACTTTGTTACTGTAGTATAATAACCGTAATTTGGGGCAGAATACTTTGCAGATTTATTATTTATGCCCATGGTCGTTTGAAATATCGGATTACAAAGAATTCTACAAATAGCTAATCAATAGGAACGTGTAATTACACTTTCAATGTAATAAGGATTCATGATTAAGTTACAGCAGAACTAAAATTAGAAATTATTTTTGAAAGGGTTAAAATTTTTACAATGTTTACTTTGATTTGTAAAAAAACGTATACTAGAAGAGTTAAAAAAGGGAAAAAATAACAAAGTATTTGGAATAAAGCTAGAAACAACATTAATAATATAAATATTCCTTGCCATTAGATTTGGAAAACAAAATTCTAAAAATTTGTCGACTTATTTAAAATTCATGTTCCAAAAAAAAAAAAATTCTATAATGCAAGAAAAATAATTATTCAGGATGTTTACAAATTGTTTACCAAATTTTTCATACGAATTAGTTCGTAGTAGTTGCTTAGTTATTGCTTTTATTATTTGTTTCAGTAATTTTTGAAGTGTAATTTATTAGAAATGAGCAGTTTTAAGTTAATCCAAAATCAAGAAAATATTGTGGTGCTAGCTAATTTTCCGCGCTGCAGGAAAAACCTTGAAATACATTTACCTATTGGATATTTCAAATAAAGTACATGTATATTCTAATTCACTTCACGTGTACACGGATATATTACATTTTTTAATTAAAGTTTTCAACTAGACGTCAAATTTTGTTTCAATTCACATAATATCGAACTCCGATAGTTTTATAGACCTTAATTTCCACAAATAAATTAAAATGTTTAGTAATATATTCTTTATTTTTCAAACCCCGATAGCTTGAAAAATATTTTTGGGTAAATTTAATTACTTTTTGTAATTATATAACGAATAAAAACGTATAAAGCAATTCCAGGATTTCTTTTACTATCCGCACAAGAAATCATATTCTGTCATTTCTATTATTGTCTATGCCCTATTCAATCGCTAAATGTATCAAATTTAAGTTAATATTTTGTAGTTTTTATTAATTTTACAATTTACGATTTAGCGTTTGTTGTGTGTGTATTAATGTTTTCAAATTTCTCCATATTATTTGAGAACATTTAAAGATTTACCGGATTCAATTAAAACAAAAGACCAAAATAAAAAAAGGGAAATAATAGATTAGTGTGAATATTTAACAGTATAAGACATCAACTAATAACAATCATCTTTTTTCTAACATACACCAATCAAAACAAACTATCTGAAAACACTCAATGATGCACTTCCCCAATTAGATTTAAAAATTCAATTTATTACTAGAGTAAAGTATCAGTGATTTATGCAAAACGTCAATGTGAAGTTTGTCTAAAACGTTATCAAAAATAGACAAAAAATATCGTTTTGGTTGTTCAAATATACATAGTAAATAAAGACTTCGTTTTACGCAAACAGAGCAAATGTTGTTTATAAAAATTATGTTTTTATTAAGAGGAAATCTTTCCAAATATCACGCGAGGTGAGAAATTTTTTTGAGATCATTTTGTTTTCTTACAAATTATGATAATTTCCAAAGAAAAATATTCTCAAAAAATTCTTACCTCTTGTGGTATTACACCTAAAAATACAAAAAAAGAAATCCGACAAGAGATAAATATGCATGAACGAAGTAATTAATATTTTCTGCTTTCTCAAAACCGTCTTTGAGACCTAATGTATAATATATTATAAACTTAATAAATTTAATAGTAATTTTTATTTAAATGTGTCAAAAAATGTCGTTACAATTTAAAATTGATGGGCATTTGTTTTATGGATTACTATGTTACGATAGAAAAAAAATATATTGCCATTAGTAAAAAGTGATTTTTCCGAAAATAAGAGACGATTGCCATTCCTCCAGTCCCGATTTTAACTCCGGAAAGTATCCGGCCATCTTATAACACAAACCACTAGAATAGTTTCGGGAAATATTGCGACACGTCAAGCGTCCCCTCCAATTCTTTTTCGAACCTCGTGCCTTGTTCCCCACTCCGACGCATTGTTAGTGGAGTTGTCACAATATTTCCCGAAACTACTCTACTTTCAGGGTTATATGCTTAACAGGACATTGAATTACAGTGTTATAAAACGTGTTCGCGACCGACTTTATCGGCCTGGATCGTAAAAGTGTTTTGCAGCAGTTCATTTGAAGTATAGAAAAGTTCTACTTATTGATTGTTTTCTGTTCGAAAAACGACGTTTTTGGCACATTCGAATAAAAACGATTTTAAACGTACGTGTTATCTACCAGTAAATTTTAATAAATCACTGGGTTTGGTGATATTTCACAGTCCATTACATAACTTTCACCTTTGGGGTTCGAGGATGGTCTTAATAATTCGTAGAGTGATTTTTGATATTTCACGATAAATAAATTCACAATTTTCAATAATTAAATTTGTTGCCTGTTAATTGGACAATTGGCCATTTTTACTCATTAATGAATAAAATATTTTAACAATTTCATAACTAAAGTATGAGTTTTTAATTAAATCTTTCATAAAATGCAATTTAAAAGACACCTCACTCGATCAAAAATAATAATAATGGTAATATTTTTATAAATAAATGTAAAATTGCATTTAATAAAATACTTTTCTGAATCACGAATTTAGTTCAATTTTCTCTCGAAATTCGATGCCATAATAAAACCCGAACAAATGTACTTATAGCTGTCTATTTAATTTCAGAGCGGTAGCGGCTTATCTCAGAGCCCTAAATCTCTCGCCCAACAATGCCGTCGTTCACGGAAATCTGGCTTGTGTCTACTACGAACAAGGGCTCATCGATTTGGCCATTGACACTTACAGAAGAGCCATCGAACTCCAGCCAAACTTTCCGGACGCTTACTGTAACTTAGCAAATGCCTTGAAAGAGAAAGGCCAAGTTTCCGAAGCTGAAGAATGCTACAATACGGCGCTACGTCTCTGTCCCACACATGCCGATTCTCTCAACAATTTGGCCAACATAAAGAGGTAAGTGCAATTGAATTGACCCCCCGAATGTTGTTAAGGTCTGTTAAATGTTTGGATACATGATACGGCATAGATCTTTGTCATTACTGAATTTCGTTCCATGCAAGTCGGAGTTCAGTTTAATGTGGATGAGCACGTTATCTATTTTTTAGCCTTTTTTACTTGCAATCTCTGAAAGCAGTTCCACTGTTTAGTGCCAGTCAATAAATTTAAATTAGAACAATTGCACACATACAATTACAAAAACACTAAATTAATTTAGAGAGAGCTAAGATAATTTTGACACATAATACCTATTATTGAAATACATGTAGATATTAAAAAAATATAGGCCATTCATTAAAGATAATCAATTCACATTAATTACTAAAGTTTTCAAATTTTGTTGGAATATTTCTTAAATTTAAGTAATAATAAATTTATTATAACTTTGTAAAAAAAATGGCAAAAGTGTTGCAACCTTGAACCAATATCAGTTTGAATGTTTTCAATATTATCAAATTTGCAACTTTTTGAAAGTTAGCAATATGATTATTTTTTTTTTGTAAAATACTGTTTTTGTTTATATCATAGTTGAAAAAATTACAAAAGTGGTGCAAACTGATTACATAACTCATACACATTTTTGGAATAGTTATTCCAATTTGCAACCTCCTAATTTGCCCGCAAATATTTTTTTGTGAAAAAATGGCAAAACAATTGTTTATTTGCCTCTAATTTTGTCAAAGAAAAAATGTTTAAGCTTTGAAAATTGGTTGCAAATGTTTAATATTATTTTTCGTAACAACCTGGTAAATTTGCCAGGTCCGCAGCGTTGAAAAAATAACACAAATCAACAATTCGCACTTTTTGCAGTCGCAAATTTGTTTTAAAAGTTTTATAAATTTTACAGAACTGTTTAAATGCCTTCCTATAATAAATTTGCAACTTTCCAAGATTAGAGAAAATTATTGTTAATTGTCTATGGGCAATTTTGCACATTTAAGGAAACAGCCAAAAAATATGTTCACAGTAATATCGAATTTGCAACCTTACACCTCCATGCAAATATTTAAATAATTTCCTGTATGCAGAAATAAAAAAGTTATAACTAAAGGAGGATCCTAAATACTGGTACAGAACTTAAGGCTGGGTTTTCGTGAAAATTGGCGCGAACAAAATGCATGTAAAACATCGACCCTGGCCGATCTAATTCGTTTAAAACGTAAATAATTTTGTGAGCTCTCAAATTAGTTGAGAATAGTTGAAAGTATCAGCTGAGTAGTGAAACAATTTATATTCCGAAAATCAACCGAAAAAGTACTCAAATTATTGAAAATACAATAAATTTATCACACTGATTATTGCAGCCTAATTTACAGTTCATCAAATTTCTAGAGGCTTTCGACGGCTAGACAGAGAAAGCACTACTGACAGGCATCCCGACGGATTTACGCAATGAAAGTACACTCTGCGCATCAAGTATTTCACTATTTCATTCAGACGTAAATGTCAGATGTAAATTTCGCTAAAACATTTCTTTTATTTTCGTTTGTGTTTTTTGCTCATTACAGTTTAATAGAACCTAAGTATGGAGTTTAATAGCAAATTAAGAGGCCGCGTGATTAACAGTCAATCTCGCGAAATAATAACCAATGTTATAGAGTTTATGAGAAGAGAAGGAAACTTTAATTCACCTTCAATACCATTTAAAAATGTAAATGTTCGTGTTGCTGCAGCCACAGGAGTATCTAAAAACACTGTCGTCCGCATTTCTGGAGAGAAAAAAGAATCGATAACCGTGAGATATCGGAATTTTCATCACCAAGAAAAACCATTAAAAAACCAAAAACAGTTAATGATATAGATGAAGCTGCACAAGAATCAAATTTTATTTTTTTTATTATTAGATAGCTATTTTTGTTTCTGAGTTGTGTTCATTTACAGGCTCAATTTTTTTCCGTTTCTCCTTTTTGATTTTATATGGGGTTTCAAGTTGTTTTTGACTTATTTCGACGTAAATCACAACAACACACTTTTTTAATAAAGCAAACAAGTGTTAAGAGGTATATGTACGTGTAAACTACAATTACAAAAAATTGATATGAAACCCATATGAAACCACCAACAAAAATGTAAAGCTAGCTTCCGTACTAGAACATGGTGTCATTCGTCGAGATAATTTATCGTTCTGTTTAATAGATCAAGAAATGTAAATATTCCCCTGTTATTTTTTATAAAATTATAAGAGAAATAAATTTTTTTCTAAATAGTATAGTTTATTATTTTGTAGAAAAACAAAATTTCGAAAATTTTAGTAATGTTTCAGAAACAACCGTTATTAATAATAGGTACCATTTTCCTTAATAAGGTAGAAATAAAATATAAACTATTTCCACGATTTACAAAGGCATACAAAAAAATTATAGGTATTTTCCGCTATCCTATAAAATTTATATTTTCTGACTCAATTTCAAAAGGTTGAAGGAATTCCAAAACACCTTTTATGGCATAATAATTATTTTCGATTCTACATACTATCTTTAGCTGCCTTTAAAAACGTTCTAAGAAAGTCCAATCAGACCAATTTAATCCCTAAACTATTCCACAATTTTAAAATTTAATTACCTAAAAATATTAAAAACTAAAATAACTTGTTTAGCAGACTGTACAATCTTAGTCACACGTAACGCGTTCTCTGTCTGGGCGTCGAACACCTCTAGAAATTTGATGAACTGTAAATGATCTTATTATTTTTTTTTTTAATTGGTGTCATCGGCATTGACTACTAATGCCATTAGCCTCCTGTTCTGTGTAGGCTTTGTTACTGTTTCCCAGCGCCACTTTAGGAACAGCACTGTTAATTAGAACCCAACAGTGAATGGCCGAGTGGGGAATCCTACCAAGGCATCGGACTTAATTTTAAATAATTAAATAAAAAAATCCCGGCCAACGGTGGGATTCGAACCTGGGACCCTTGGATCCACAGACAGAGACTCTACCACTGAGCCACCAACCCCTTAAAAAATGATCTTAATTAATTTTTAAATTCAACTATGTTATGACCTGTAACATGTTTGTAGTATATTCTGTACAAATATTGATGCCAGTGGATATGTAATAACTACATGAGTTTGATTTTGCATTAAAATAATTCGATTTAATAAAAGTAACTAGATTTTAGTAATATTTTAGTTCAACGGTATCGGGACCAGAGTTTAGTGAATTTTAGTGGTCTCTTCTTTAGATATGTATACAGCTAAAGAGCAAACGCGCCAAATAAAATTTAAAAATGACATTTAGAGGTCCGGTCCTTAGATAATATACAGCTAATGAATATGTAAAAAGGAGTATGCTTTCATGTGGTTTGAACCATTAAAGTGAAATTAATGCTTTGCTATTTAGGTAAATCAACCCTTTTAGAATAGCATTAATAATTAATGAATTATTAAATCAGTTTTTATTTTCTATAACCAGTAAAGAATGTATAGAAATCATTATTTTTGTTAGATCTCAATTTTTCCATAGATTTTACGTTTTGCGGGGTCCTTGAATCCGTTTTGAGCATTTTTGTGATGATGTGTGTGTGTGTGTGTGTCCACGATAACTTAAAAACTGAATAAGTGAATAAACTAAATTTTGAACTGTGGTGCGCTGATTAGATTTTGAGCAGTGTCAGAGCATTCATTATTGGGGAGGGGTCATTTAAACGGGACCGTTTTTCTACTTTAAGGTATATATACCTGTTATTTATGATTAGAGAATAAATTTTTTTTAATAGAGTTGTCTTCGATGTCATTCTCTATAAATTTTGTAATATACAGTGTCATCGTTAAAGTTCTCTTCATATGGGATGTTTTTTTTATTTAGTTCATTATTAGTATTTAGTATGCAAATTTAGATTCATATAAAGTTTGTGGTTTGAAGCTAATAAAATTTTTTTTTATGTCGTCGATCGCCTATACCTGTCAAATTTGACGTCTTATCCCATCTTATCAAAATAATTTACATTAAGTTATAGGTTATTTATCAAAATGTCGAAAAGTGTTAAATCAAAAAAGTATGAATAATTAGTTTGGATTTTTAAAATTGAATTAGCAAGAACTTTAGGTCTAAAAATCCGAACTTTAGATAATAACAAAATAAATAATCAAATTTCACAACAAACCATTCACTAGCAGAAAGAAAACTAAAATTAGGCTGGCTGAATAACAAACCCTTCGGGTACCTTTTGGGTGTCGTTAACCCATCTTTAACCATCCCCTGCCCTTTTTTATTTATTTCATGATTTACCATTTACAGTGTGCTGAATTGAAAATTCTCGCTTCCGGAAAAACGGTCTAGTTAATAGAAATTTAAATAAATGCTAATATAATATTATATAAGAGACAATTAAAAATATCTTTATGAGCAGAAGGAATACAGCAAATGGCTACAATAAAAACTTATTCATTATTTTTTATTAACCTCCATCACTAACTGATCTAGTAAATAGAATAAAATATTAAAAAAGAAAAGAAGAATATTAACATGATTAATTCGCAAAATTATCAGCCACATTTCATTTTGTGGACCAATAAGGGTGAAAAGAGGAAAACAAATTTCTTGAAAAATAGTATATACATTATAACAACAACCAAAATTTCAGTCTAAGCGGGAAATTTCCAGCCTAACGGCATCACTGCTTTGTTGTAACTGTTTCAAATTGCAGAGCAACGTTTTCGAACCGAAATCTTCTTCCAGTTGACCTTTGACCAAGCTGTATATGGCAATGTTGCAGTTTCAAATAAGAATATGTCCTTAGACGGAAGCTGAGTATAACAAGTTATACGTTATTCATTATAAAAAAAAACAAATATTTTTTACAATATGTAATTTTATTATTTGATGTTCATAGAATTTCACTGACCTTCTAACGTATAACAATATATATTGCATATATTTTTATATATTTATGCTTTTATATATTTCTCCTTTAATATATTTCTGTTATTTAATATAGGTACCTCATAAATAATTAGACTTGACAACACCGTCTCAATAATACCAATACAATACCAAAATTCTCTAGAAATTCAATTTCACAGATTGTCGATACAATCGGCCAAATTATTAGTGTTTTGCGGATATGCATAATCATTAAGATTTTACTTGGAACAGTGTATTCGATTTAATTTACCGAAAATAGATATACTAGCGTAATCTATGAACATAATATTAAACTTTTAATATATTTTTTAAAACCATTTAAAACTGAGGGCATTGGCCAAGCCGTAATTCCGAAACTAAAAGTATATCCATCCAGTTATCCAGGAATTCTGACCCTGGAAATGGGATTTGTAACAAATAACATAAAGGAAAAATACCTACTTTACGTTTTTAAATATTCTGCAGTAAGAGAAATGTCCCTAAGATTTAACAAAAAGGTCGAGCTTGTCCCATTTATGCCCTGCTAAATCAGGCCAACGTAGATGGACCAAATGTCTAAACATCGTGGTCCGAACGACATTAAATTATACTTGAAATACTTTTATAAATGGCGCATCATGCAATCTGAATTTTAATATTTTCCGTTATTTTGATGATGGATATATTTTCCCTGGATTTATGCATACTACATATCAAGTTCATATTTGAATTAATTATTATTATGATGTATGTCGTTTCTGAAATTATACCTATAATTAATGGCAACCAACAAGTATATCTAAATGTTGTTTTAATATTATCTATAATAGGTATTAAAGAACAAATGAAATAGCTTTTATATGCAGCATATATTAACTAGTTTATTATTTAATAACACAAATTTGCAGATTGCTTAATAAAATTAGTTTGGTTATATCTAGCTTATGTGCTGTCATTTTTAATTGAAATGAATGCCAGTGATGATAATTTGTCTTTTAACATAGAGTTCCTTAAATAATTTGAGAAAGGTCTTTTAGCGGTGGCAACAGTAACAGGGATGGTTAAAAAGAGAAAGCTTTTATTGTATGTAACTTTTCTAGATCTGTTTTTAACCTTTGCCAAAATTTGAGTAAGTCTTTCGAAAATTCTTCTGAATAATCGTTATTATATTTTGAGTGAAGAACATGTCCCATTTGAAACAGATCATCATCACTAGCATTAACTAAAACACTTGCGGATCTAAACATCTAAAATATCCACATACTTCTCTAAGATTAGTAAATCTACTTTAGATTTGATTTATGGCAATATCTAACGTTTTGTAGAAAGTATTCTAAATCGATCTTCAGAAGTCTCAATAACAGTGATTAAATATTTCCTCAAATATTGTTTTTAGTTGAGAAATACGATTCTCTTCGAATTTATGGTAGGATTCTGGGAAACATCCTATAAGCTACAGAATCTGTAAGATATAGTAATGTAATTTTTATAGATTTCAGATTTTGGCTTACAGATCTTATAGCGTGTCTTAGAATCGATCCATTAGTTGTATTATAGACTAATAACCTTATTGTTCTCCGTATTTATCTTTGACAAGTTTTATATTGACTTTATGTACAGTATGCCCCCTAATTAAATTCATAAGATGAGAAAATGTTTATTTTTAGTTTTAAAAACACGAAAGCTTTTACTCACTTTGTGACAAAAAATGTTACCAATCAATAAATTAATGGAATAAATTGTAAAAACTATGAAATTATCTAAAATTTTGAATTTTGGTCATAAATTTCTGTTTGCGTGCAAAGCCAGTTTTTACAATAATTTTTATAAAAATTTCTTTTATAAACAAAAACCGTTCAGATTTATGATAAAAAATAATTTTCTATTGCTGATATTTTCGATTTTTGCATTATTTTAGTAATAAATTACGGAAGATTTTGTTATTATCTTTATCAGTTGTAAGCAGGTAGGGTTAGGTTTGGCCCAGAACACTGCGGCCTCTTGGGTCTATTGTATTCCCCTGCTTTCCCTGTATTCAGGTACTTTTGTTACTATAAAGTTATTTAATTTTCATAATGTTTCATCTGAATTTTATTCATTATTACCAATAACTTAGTTTATATTACGGTATCCCAAATATTATAACACATTAACTTAACATGAATGATTTTGTTTTAATTTAATATTAATAACGTCAATTTGTTCCTACAGAGAACAAGGCTACATAGAAGAAGCCACCAGATTATATCTAAAGGCCCTAGAAGTTTTTCCTGAATTCGCAGCCGCTCACAGCAATCTTGCATCCGTTTTACAACAACAAGGAAAATTGAATGAAGCCCTCATGCATTACAAGGAAGCAATCAGAATTCAACCTACCTTTGCTGATGCATATTCCAACATGGGTAAGTTCCTAAGCTTAATTTTATCAAACATTGTGTTGTTGGTCGTATATCGAACAAACGCGAGTACCCTTAAATTTTAGGTTAAAAGAACATAATAGTGACACATCTTGTTTTATTGCAGGTAACACTTTAAAAGAAATGCAAGACGTTTCAGGAGCCCTCCAGTGCTACACTCGAGCAATTCAAATCAATCCCGCCTTCGCGGACGCTCACAGTAATCTAGCAAGTATTCATAAAGATTCCGGTAACATTCCAGAAGCCATACAATCATATAGAACGGCTCTTAAACTAAAACCCGATTTTCCAGACGCCTATTGCAATTTAGCTCACTGTTTACAAATAGTTTGTGATTGGACAGATTATGATTCTCGAATGAAAAAGTTGGTAAACATCGTCGCCGATCAGTTGGAAAAGAATCGTCTGCCTTCCGTGCATCCGCATCATTCCATGCTGTATCCGTTGTCGCACGAGTTCCGCAAGGCCATCGCAGCGAGACACGCGAATTTGTGCTTGGAGAAAATTAACGTACTGCATAAGTTTCCTTACAAATTTATCCCAGAATGTAAAGGAAGGTTGAGAATCGGTTACGTAAGCAGCGATTTCGGAAATCATCCGACTTCTCATCTGATGCAGTCCGTACCCGGTATGCACGATAAGATACAAGTGGAGGTGTTCTGTTACGCTCTCAGCCAAGACGACGGTACAGCTTTCAGAAGCAAAATATCCAGAGAATCCGAACATTTCATCGATTTATCGAATATACCGTGCAACGGCAAAGCCGCCGACAGAATCTATTCTGACAACATTCACATTTTGGTAAATATGAATGGTTACACAAAAGGCGCTAGAAATGAAATATTTGCTTTGAGACCGGCACCGATCCAAGTCATGTGGTTGGGATATCCCGGCACGAGCGGCGCCAGCTTCATGGATTATTTGATAACCGACGCTATAACGTCACCAATTGAAGTCGCTAGCCAGTACAGCGAAAAATTGGCCTACATGCCGTACACGTACTTCGTCGGCGATCACAAACAAATGTTCCCGCATCTGAAAGAACGGTTAATCGTCAGCGATAAGACCGGTAATTTAGCCGATAACGTGGCAATCATCAACGCTACAGATCTGTCACCATTGGTCGAAAATACCGACGTTAAAGAGATAAAAGAAATCATTAAAGCTGCCAAACCCGTAGAAATAAGTCTTAAAGTGGCCGAACTACCTTGTACAACGCCAATCGAAAACATGATAGCTTCCGGTCAAATTCAAACGTCGCTCAACGGAGTAGTGGTCCAAAATGGTTTGGCCACAACACAAACCAACAACAAAGCCGCTACCGGCGAAGAAGTACCACAGAATATTGTAATAACGACCAGACAACAATACGGGCTACCTGATGACGCGATTGTTTACTGTAATTTCAATCAGTTGTACAAAATCGATCCAGTGACTTTACACATGTGGGTGAACATCTTGAAAGCCGTACCGAACGCAGTTTTGTGGTTGTTGCGCTTCCCGGCCGTGGGTGAACAGAATCTGTTGAATACTGCTCAGCATCTGGGTTTGCCGACCGAGAAAATCATATTCAGCAATGTAGCCGCTAAGGAGGAACACGTCAGAAGGGGACAGCTGGCCGACGTCTGTTTGGACACGCCTTTGTGTAACGGACACACAACTAGCATGGACGTTTTGTGGACCGGAACTCCGGTCGTTACGCTGCCCGGAGAAACGTTGGCTTCGAGAGTGGCGGCCAGTCAATTGAATACTTTGGGTGTTCAGGAGTTGATTGCCAGGTCGAGGCAGGAATATCAAGAAATTGCTATCAAATTAGGAACGGATAAGGAATAGTAAGTAAAGTTTATTTCTTAGTTTGAGCAAATGAGCGAAACGTTCATTTTCATATTAAAAATGTCATTTTAAGCTTCACTTATTTCTTAACAACTAGCTGTGCAAACGACCCTTAGATACACAAATTTTCACCTCTTAAATGTCATTTGTCGTTTCTTCTTCCTTGATTTGTATTGTGAGAATTATTTTTGACTTGGATGTCAACAAATCAACTTGATTTGAATTTCGATATATCTAGGTCATCCTATTTATTAGATGATTTTTAATATTCTTATTGGCCGTCTGATTTTATAAGCATGGCTATATCTAGACAGTTTTGAATTCCTCTCAAGACGGTTTTGAATTCCTATCAAGATGTTTTATGGTTTTTATACCTAGAAGTTTGTTTTGGTTTTGGTACAATCTGAAGACCGTGGTTTGATTCATCTCTAGAAGATCTAGACAGTTTCGAGTTTAAGTTAGAATACCAAATATTACGAAATCATTCACGTTGCAGAAATATGAATAAGGATCCCGAATCCCTTTGAAGAAGTTGCCTGAGGATATACCATGCGATAAAAACATTCCTTATATTACCTCCTTTTAACAAAAGATAAGTGCTATTGAATAAATCATCTTAAATTTGAATTTAGTAAAACTTTGTGAATTTGCTACTACCTTAACATGGTTTAAATATAATTTGTTAGTGGTTAGTGATTTTCTATATTTTTATCACTAATCTAAAGTCAAGTATAGTAAGCTTTAAATATAGTGGTGCCCAACTTCTTTTTCAAAGTTATTTGAGTTATTTAATAACCTAACCCACGCCCAATCAATTGAGCTCAAATACATTATACAAGTAGATAGAATAACTAGAGATCACGTTACAAGGTGAACGATTTTTTGAACATAGTAATACTATTTTTTTTTTCTTAAATTAATATTGTGGATATCCGTTCTAAACCTAATTTTATTACAAAATACTCCGGTGTTTCAGTTTTTAAAATTTTGTAAAATAAACACAGAGAATGTAACCTGCGCCGATTATACATATTAAGCCACTTTGCCACTTTTAGTTTGGGTGAAAGTTTATGTCTTTTCCTTATACCATAAATCAAACGAAGACAGCTATTATGTACTTTTTAAATTCTATTTTTATCCAAAGTTTATTTCGTGGAGATTACGAATTGAAATATATTTATGAAAATTAATTATTTCAGTTGTTCCAAATGTACAATATATTAAAAAATGTCTAGTTAAGTTCACATCCTTTGTATCACAATTAACCACATCAAAATTAATCTATTATTATTAAAATGCGTTGGGTCAGAAATAATTTGATTTAATTGAAAGGTGTCAGAAATGTTTAAAAGATCATTGAGGTGTTGTGATTGTATATTGAAATTATCAATATTGAAATCACCAAGGCATAGAATTTTATCAACATCACAGTAAATTTTAATTAATGTATTTTCAAAATGACAGAAATTGATCATTATTATAATTAGGAGCTCTATAGACAATACCTAAAGCATATTTAGTGTTATTAAGTTTGAACTGAATCCACAAGTGTTCAAGAAAATCAAAATTTTCACATATTATTTCATATTTGATTGAATTCTTTAAATATATACCGAATATATACCAGGGCCGATGAGAGGGGGTAGCCCGGACTAATTCCCGGAGACCGGGCTCAAGTGGGGGCCGGCAGCTTTAGGTGAGGACGTTTTTTTTTTTTTTTTTTTTTTTTTTTTTTTTTTTTTTTTTTTTTAGAAGTTCGCCACAAGAGCATTAGAGATTTATTTCACTAATGAGCAGGATAATCTTTTGCTTAGACCTATTTTTTTTTTTTTTTTTTAGAAATGTGATATTGAAAGGGCTTAATTTGTTTTATAAAATTGTCACGGGGCCCGACCTGGCTCTCGGTGGCCCTGGACACCACCTCCCTGCTTTGCCAACCTATCATTTCTAATTAAACTATAACCATCTATGTGCAATAAGTTTTCATCAATTCTGTCATGTAGCAAAGTTTCTGAGATACAAAATATGTCAAAACGGTTTGAATGAATAATGTCTGCTACAGAGATAATTTTAGGTAACGGTGAACAAACATTTAAGTGTCCTACATAGAAGGCCATTGCAAATAAATATTAAATTTTAGTTCAAAGAAACAAAGCCACTTAAATAATTTCTATTCTAACAGAGCAAGGTGAAAAGTAGTTGGCGTGGTAGTGAAAGAGTGTTTTTTTAGATCAAAAATGCATTAATTTTTTATATAATAGTCCTCTTACTTTTTCCAATATTTCTCAAGTTAATGGATTCCATCCTTGAAGTACGAATCTGGCAGGTCTGCAAAATATTAATTTACCTCTTTATTTGATCTAAAACATTTTACAGTCATACATTTATTTAGGTTTGGGAATAGATATGAATGTCTGAAGGATCCAAATATGGTGAATAAGGTGGATGTTCCAACTATTCGTACTTGGAATCCCTTTATTTTCCCATTACCAAAGCACTTTTTCGTTCTGGTGTGTTTTCATGATGAAAGATTATTTTATTGCCTGGTCTAACTGATTAAGAAAAAGTGTGTAGTATTTGTCAGTTATTGTTTTATTGTTAAGAAAGTAATCAATTAAAACAATATCTTGCATCCCAAAAAATACTAGCCATGATCTTGGCAACAAGTACAATTGACTAATTTTTTTGATGCAGTTCCACCAGCTCTCCCATCTACTTCTTCGACTGCTATTATATTTCAGGGGTTAAGTGGTAGATCCATAGTAACAAATATGCGTATACAATCGATTCTTTTAAAAATAGTCTTTTTATCAGCATTTAACAAATGTCTTAATATCCTTGCACAAGTTTCCTGTGACTTAATTGGTCAAGTAAAATGTACTATACTCTTTCTTCCGAGATGGCTACAGCCATTAGCTATCTCATATACTTATAAACGTCAATAATCCAGAACTGTATTGTATAACTTCTCGATATGTCCATCTGTGGTAGCCGTTTTTGGCTGTCCTTCATGTGGATCATCTTCAACAGTTGAAAACGAAGGAGCGGGCTCTATATAAACCTTTAACCAATTTTGGATAAATTTCTACATGATTAGTGTGATGTAACGATTTAGTCAATCAGTATTACTACTGTTAGAGAAATTTCTCTTCCTATTAAATTGTTTTCTCCATATTAAATTGATCCTTGTTCACTTTATGCATAAGACCAAAGAAAAAAGACTTATTTTAACGTTTTATATTAATAATAGGAATATCTAAGCAATTGAAATGCCGATACAGTGATCTGTAAATTATAAAGAGTGATCCACAAAAAATATTCAAAAGTAGGCAGACAGTAGGCGACAAAGGCAGAGTTACGAGTTGTTTTGATTTAACTTAATTGTTACAATATTTGGCTAATATCGCCTTTTGAAAATGAGGAAAATTATATTATTCAAATTAAAACTATCTGTAAATAATTATAAGTATATTTAAAACATATAAATTTGAATCCCTTTCTAAATATGCCATTTGTAGTCTTCAAATGGACTATTCTTATCTTCAGATCTTTTCCAGGATACATTTATGTTACAATTCCTATTCGCCAATTGCTTTTCCTCAAGAATAATACTTTTAATAGGAGTCTTGCAATCATTTTTTAAAAGGACTCTCAAAGTATATATTTTCACAAAGCACTGCGAACTCAATGCTCACTAGTTCTATCGATGTAGTCATTGATCGTCTGGAAAAATGTGTGAAGCATAACAATAACGTCTCACTCACATGTCTCCTTTTGCTGCCTCGGGCGTGCTTTCCCAAATGGTACCTTAAGAAGAATTATCCACTATGACAGGCATACATTTTTTCAAAGAAACATTTTTCCCATATTCAAATTCGAATCTCATCATGTACTGCTTTCCATCTCATTTCGACTTTATCGATTTTTTTTTTCCTAAAATGTATTGTTTATTAATTATTTTGTTTTTTTTAATTTCAGCTTAAAAGCGATGAGGCATAAGGTATGGACAGCCAGGACGAATTCGCCTTTGTTTGATTGTAAAATATACGCACAAGGTTTAGAGTTACTTTACTTTAAAATGTGGGACCGTTTCGCGGCAGGACTCAAGCCCGATCACATCACTGATACCACTGCTAAGAAATAATCCAAAAAAAAATTCTCCAATTTCGATACGAATATTCATTTAAAGAGATGTTAGTATTTAAAGAAGAATGTTTCCATGAAGTTTGTATATTTAGATTATTGAGTTGAGTTTTTTTCTCAATCTTACAGGTGATTTTTGAAATAGTGACAAATATTTTTGCCATTTATATGCTTGATAATTGTGTACAGTTTTCTGCTTTAGAATAATATGACTATGTAATTAAATTAGTAATTGAATTAAGTTCAACCCATTTTGATTTATATTTCATAAGTTATTAATAAATTATCGAATATTTATTTAAGCTAGTGACTTTTCTTTCAAACGAGGTTTTTTAGTAACTGAAAATCGTATAAGAATTCTTACCCACCAAATTCATGGTTTGGTTAACATAATAATTTGGGATATTTTCCAGAGAATATTTTCTATATATTTTATTTATTTAAGTAATAAATATAGGAAAGGTAAAAAAATATTTATTTATTTACGGATAAATTACAATTTTAAATTTTAATTAAAATGTAGTGAAATATAATATATGGTGCTGAAATACAAACGTGGTATAATTCATTACATATAGACTAAAATAGGTACAGAATTTAAGATTTAAAAAGACAATAAGTTTGAATAAAATATTTACATTAAACATTAAAGATCAAAGATTAAAGCTCAGTACTCTAAGTAATTGCTTTATAAAAGGGGGTGTTAAATATCTCAAGATCGTTATGAGTATTGGTTAATCTTCACATTCTTGGAATACAGCTGCTAAAAGTGTGGTTTAAACGATAAAAAGGTACATAAAATGTTTGTTGCTGTCGAGTTGAGCAGGTTGGAACATAAAGATTAATTTTTGTTAGAAGTTCAGTACAGTTGCATCTGCCATTGATAATTTTGAAAAGTAATGTCAGGTCTCCTAGTTTCCAAAGAGGGGATGTTTAGGAAATTCTCTATCAAACGTATACTCGCAAAGGACACCCAATTTGTAGGCTATGTATCTACAGTAAACGACAAATCTAAAGAACCACGCGCATTTATAATGCTATGAACACGCCTACCGATGAATAGAATTGGTAGCTTACCTAGGAAGTTGTAAACCAGGGGCGCGTATATTTTAAGACATAAAATAAATGGAACGTAGTGAATGATGCTTGTTCATACATACTGCTTAGTGTTATTATTAGTACATAATTCTATAGTCAATTAAAAAATCATTATTTTTAGGTAAGCCGACTTTAGGTTAAGGAGAGCTCTGGTGGTCTAGTATTTTGTATTTTAACTGACATTAATTTTTTTATAAACAAAATATGAAGTAATATATCCTTCCGATTTTTTATACCGGCTCTTCATTTCAAAACTGGATAGTCCAAATAACTTCTGATTTTACGTAAATTTAAGAAAAACAAAAACATGTTTAATTTTATAATATATATAAGTAAATACAAACAACGTAAAACAGTAAATCACAAATAAATAATGTTCATATGTCTTCATCAGATTCTTCGTTGGAAGAAGACTCTTCACTGGAATCCTCATTAGGATTAATGACGATAGGATTAATTTCCGAACATAAATCAATTTGTATTTCTCTTTCAAAATATTTATCTTCTACCTTTATAACATGATCGCATCGCTTTTTCCATTCCTCCATACCGATTTTGTTAAATTCTTCTTTTGCTAATTGTGTCTTCTAATTTAAAGGTAACATTCCTTTGACTGACATTATTCTTAACAGTTGCCCAAATCAATTCGATAGGGTTCAAGTCGGGGTGATATGGGGGTAACCGTAAAGCGGTGTGGCCGTATTCTCGACACAACTCGTCAAATGCATGTTACATGTCGGTCCTTATGAGATTTAATCAGTTCATATAACTCTGGTTTCAAACTTGTTGGATTAAAAGGTATTGACTGGGGATGATGCTGCTGGCTACATCCTCATCACGAGTGCCAGTTCTTAAACTGGCCACAGCTCGGTTTTGGTTTAACTTTAGCTGCGTCAATAAAATAAAACTGCGAACTTTTGTATTCGTTTATTACCATGAACAGGAACAGATTAACAACTATTCTTTCTATTATTTAATACAAGGTTTTTAATATAAAATATTGAGATTAAAAGAATGACTTTTTTTCGTTGACTTCTGCCCAAACAACAACTTGCCTAGCGACCGTATTCCTACGTCCCAAAATGATTGTGACGCGCGAATGTTGCGAAACGGGATACCCGGGTTGCTCATTAGAAATGTGTCGTCATACATCCATTGTCAAAATTCCTACAGGTATGTTGTATTTTGTCAACCATTCGATCATATCATTCTTCAAAGAATCGGAATTAGGTGCTCGATTTGTCTGTACATTGTGATAACTAGCATTATCACGAACAAGTATTGAATTAGGTGGAAGATTAGGTATTAACTTCTCTCTTAACCATTTGCTGTAATTTTCCGAATTCATTTCGGAATGATAATCTCCAGACTTGGTCCCTGATTTGAATATCAACAAACTATTTTTGATAAAACCCATTTCTCCCCCACCGTGAACTATAATAAGCCTTTGACCTTTAGAAATAATAGAAAACAAACCTTTTGTTGAATCGTCTGTCCAATTCTTGGAAAAAGTATGTCCACTGTGTATATATGTTTCATCTAAATAAACGATTGGTCTATTTTGACTTCTAAAATATTTTATCTGTCTCAAATATTTTACTCAAGTTCTTATTTTCATTTTTTCCACCAAAACTTTACGAGACTTTTCTGTTATATGAAAATCGTAAATTATTCTTTGAATGTCCCTCAATTGATATTCAGGGATATTCGCAGCGGTTGATTTTTTGACGAAGTTTTTCCTAGGTGTGGAAAATGTAATTTTTCCAGTTATTTTCTTTGACTGTTTACCTTCCTTCAAAATTCTTTTAACGGTAGTATATGTTATGTTGAGAATGGGGTGTTAATACACTGCGACCTAAAAGATCTATTGTGCCCCTTCTGTCGCCACTGCACTAAGGAAATGTCTCAATGCCTATAGCGACCCTTCCAATCCTATTTTCTCAAGGAAGTGTAGGATTTGAAGTGGCTTCAAGTCAGGTAAATCTCCCTCTTCTATTTGATATCCTCCTAGATATAGTGCCCTTGGATTCTGGAGTGCTACACATTCCGTTAGGATGTGAATGGAGGTTTCGTCCTCCTCACAGAATCTGCACTCACTATCCTCTACTACTCTCAGTTTACAACGGTAGTATAAGGAACACCTGTAAAAACGTAATATTATATTAATGTTAAATTTATTATTTTTTTACATTTATTAGGGAACAAAAATCTTTAGAAACAAGATAAATTTAAAAAAATTAAATATAAAATATTAATAAAACATAAAATGGATAGATATGTGTGTAAAATACAAAAACTACGCAAGTTTAATTGCAAATAAACTACAGAATATGTTTACCTGTTGCCTTTGAAGTTTGATATTATTTAAAGAAACTTCTTCCTTTTTTGTTGCGTCAAAATATTTAAAGACATTGTATATTACTTCACGACTTTGTCCGTTAATAACAGATCTGCACTTTAACCAAAACACAGAAACAATAAACAAACAGTGATCTAGTCGTTACGCTACTGACTGTAAGCAAGGACAAGGTTCAAATTGTGAACGGGCGTGGCTATTTTTAAGTAAACGAACTTGAGCATTTGCGCTGGTTCTTTAGATTTGGCGTTTACTGTAAGACATTTATGTTGCACATTTTCTATGTTTCTGCTGTGCGTTATGTAATGTGGAGACCAGACAAAAACAATAATCTAGGTGATGTCGGACTAGTGAACAATAAAGGATTTTAATTGCAGTTGTGTCAGTAAAATCATGTGTTAGCCTTTTGATAAAACCTAACATTTTAATGGATTAATGGGTAGCCCTAGGTATGTGTTGGTTGAAGCTTAAAGTGGGATCTAGAATAACTCCAAGGTCTTTAATTTGATTAACAGACTCCAAGATATGACCATTTAAGTTATAATCAAAAGTAGTAGTTGGTACATGGGATCCATAAAAGCGCATGACATGGCACTTTATGGCATTCAAGTCCATGCCATTTAAGAAACACCAGTTTGATTGATTATCAATGTCAGATTGAAGCCGCCAGAGGGCATCATAAATGGTTTTAATAACTAGGAAAACTTTAAATCATCTGCAAACAATAGTGCTTTGCCATACTAAAAACAGTTAATGATGTCATTTATAAATAAGTTGAATAATAAGGGACCAAGGTGTAATCCTTGTGGAACACCTGAGGTAACTTGAAATAAGTTAGAATAGTGATGGTTCATTTTAGCCATTTGAGTTCTGTTCGTAAGATAGCTACTTAGATAAAAGAGACCGGAGATGTAACATTGCACATCGCGCCATTGTCTATTCCAACCCTAAGTAACCCACCAATTAAAAATCATTGTGTTCACGACGCCACCCGAATTACTCCGAAATTTATATTCTATGCTTATCTCCGCGTGAGTAAATCATTTATGGACCGCCGTTTTTTGAATTATTTGTTGGTGTTATTAGCAATTTAAAGTGTTTTAGTTATTCAATTTCAAGTTGAAAATGCCACGATGTATGGTGAAAAATTGTATATACAAATATTATAAGTGACAATGTTATGAAAAATAAGAAATATATTCGTTTTCAGCAGTAAATATTTGTTGACGTTTTGACATAAAGTCGCCATGATTCTTTGAGCTGAATACTTCAGATCCGCATTAAGGGGTTTCAATAAATATTAAGCATCAAATACAATATTTCAGAAAATATATTTCATAATGCATTAAATTAAAAAAGAGTAAAATTTTAAACATTTAATCTAAATAAGTAAATAGGCATTGTTACTAACGAAATTTTGTTTTTAAAAAGTAGTTTTATAAGAATATTTACTAAAGGTGGTTTTTAGCCCTTATTAGGTATTTTTACAAGAATATTAGATGAAATATAGGTTCACCTACTTAAAATTTCAAGGTTCATTTTATTTGCGGTTAAATCGGAAGAGACATTTGAATCTTAAGTATTAAAACAAAGTAAAACGCGCAATATGATCTAGTATAAGCAAACAAATACTAAAGTTACGGAAATTAGTAGTCATATTATTAGTAAAATGTTACATTATAAACCCCTAAACAACTAGAAAAAAAATCTTCGTTTACTAAAAAAATCTAAATTCTAGCAATATTTATTATACAATCGAATGCGGTTTCAAAG